AAACTTTATGGAGGCAATTCGAACTATAATATTTTTAATATAATTTCTGGAAGCTTCCAAATAATAGATCAATCAGTAGTTGGTCTGGTGTAGTTGTAAAATCAATGCAGAGGTCTCTGAGATATTTATCTCGCTGGTAAATAATGTTCAGATAGAACTGGTAGATTCAAAATTGATTAAGGCACTTAATAGGAATGGCCGAATTCGGCTACATGGCATGCAATCAAAGATGGAGAGCATTAGCACAAGGCACAACTTTTGAAACAAGAACTCATCGAATGAGCAATTAATTACTTCACAAAACATCATTTGTAAATGTGTACATAGAATGATTCAAATTTGAAATATAAATTAGGATTTAGCTACTTCCAAAAAGAATTTTCGCAAACTGCTGAGCTTCAAATATTTAAATTCAAACATTCAACGTTCAGCCAAGGATAAAAAAAATAATAAAATGACAAATTTTTAGATCAAAATATATCTATGTTTAAACATGCTTGAATAACTGTAGAATTCCAAAATATTCCCGATCCGTGGTCAAAATATGAAGATCTGTCATTTAACAAATGTGTTTGCTTTTTTAAGAGAAACTTCACGAATTGAATAGAGCAGCGAAGGGCAACTCATTCACGATCCAAGCCAAAAAGCTCCTCCAAATTTTGAATGAAATTTAGCACAAGATTTCATGAAATCATCATTTATGTAAAAAACAAAAAACAGTGTAAATAAAATGATTATACGCTTTACACACAAAAAAAGTGTATTCTTAGAATATAAACAATCTTGTACTAGACTTTTCTTATTTCATTTGTAAATTTAAATATGGACATTTAAATCGAACAGTTACAGAAGTTTAAGATTTTAAATTGAACCAATAATTTGTTTAAACATTTGTCAAACCAAATACGAACAAATCTAACCGGCAATTGTTAACACAATGTCTTTTGCAGATGCTGGTTGGTAATATAGAGTTGATGTTGTTTTTTTTTAACAATATTAAATATGTTGCAACATTTGAACAAGATTGTGAATCCAAATTGAACAAATCTGCAAATAATGTAAGTTCTTTAGAATTCTTAAATCAGACCGTTCTTTCAGTTAGACATAGGTTTTGTCTTTCTTGTTTGCCGCTGGCCCCCATAAGCAGATGCTTGACATCCGTGTGATCTTGCTGGGTATCCAGTGAGTGAGCAGCCAAATGATGGCGTGCCGGAAGCTCGACATGACCAGTGAGTACATCAGAAACTTGTAGACGGCATTGATTTTCACCAAAGATTCGAACAGCACGGCCTGTTGAAGAACTTCCCTAGACGGTCGAGTGTAGGGAGACTCTATGAACAGTCTGATGGCGTACGTGTAGCTCGACGGCAACACTAGCGCGGCATAGGCAAAGCCGGTCAACATGGTGCCCACCGTGCACGCCGTTATGTCGTTTGGGAAAGCGTGGTCCTCCTGAACGACTTGAGATCTGGACGACTGGGACGTGTAAGAGGCGAAAGTGTAGCTCCTCCATTGGGATGCGCTTATGGAATTGTTCTGAGATACGTTATTTATGCTGCTGTTGCTACGGCTGGACCGCTGCTCAGAGGCGTAGCTCTCCTGGCGGAAGCTGACTTGCATGCTGTCGCTTCGTTTGCATTTAGAAATTTTAAAACTGCTCCACACGAGGCTCATGGAGCTGTACAATTTTGATTTAGCTGGCGGGCTGATGACGTCATCGTTACAGGAGGTTAACGGTTTCTCTGGCGTCATGGGGACTGATGAAAAGTTTGAAGATTTCTCGGAAAAGAGGCTAGCGATACTTAGTTCTTTGTCCCTGGTGAGTTTTACAGTTTCCAAATCATGTGTTTCTATGTCGGACGCGTCTACCGTGCTATGGCGATTTGATGATTCTGACATTTTCTCCGTGGAATGATGGGATATCTGACATGCGCTAACATCACTTGAGTCGTTGGATGGTGCAGACAACGAAGCTATGGAACAGAGCGATGACTTGCGGTCCTCTAACACCTTGGCGCCGTTGTCGCATTTCTCGGAGTTTGGAAGTTTGAAATCTTGCATAGAAATGTGCTCACTTTGCTTGTGGCAACTCACGGTCACCTCCTTCAGCTGGTGGGACGTCTCTTTGGAAATGGCTGAAGAAAACTCGTCGATGGTGGATAATCGATTCTTGAGCCTCTCCTTGTTATTCATGTACACGATATCCTTGGACGGCGTCCGGGGGCTCTGGTCCCTGTTGTTGCCGAATCCTTTCTCTGAGCAGTAGGATGACGGATAGTCCTCGACGTGCCTCATGCTGTCGTCCTCTTCATCGTCCTCTTTGAATACGTAGTGAAGAGCCAGCTTCATGATTAGCATCAGGTCAATGCCGACAATCAACGTCAGTGGTAGAAACACGTTGGCGATAATCTCGATTTTTCTGTAACGATTGCAGAAAATAATCGTCGTTATGGAATGTTTTTTTACACAATAGGAATTTGAACACATTCATTTTTAAAGGTAATCAATTATAAAACTTTTTCAAAATTTAATTTCCAATGAAAACTTAGATGTGTTAAATATGTCATTCGAAGCGTTCAAAGTGAGCAGTAATTTAATAACATCTTTCCTTTTGAATGACGTTTACATTGAAAGTTTAAAAAAATTCGATTGCCATAACGGGTAGAGAAAAGAGCAAGGTATATTATGACCGCCTACCTCAGAGTTAAGTGGATTTGCATGGTCTCTTTCATGGGGACACAGAAGGTTGCGCCCCCTACTCTGACAGTCTCCATGGACCAGAGCACGTGCAACAATGGGGCCGCCACAAGTAGGGCCACCAGGAATACAGCAAACTTTGTGTTGAACACTCGCCTCTTTCTGCTCTCTCGGCTCGAGTTTGTGTGGGCGTTGAGGCGATCTGAGGAGTCCAACAAGATCGTTTTATAGTTTGACATGATGGCGGTCATTGTAAGCGTTAAAATACATAGCTCAAGTGTTAGAACAATACATATCTTTGATCAGTAAATACACACTTTGAGGTAATAGTAGAAGAAAAAAATATCTTTGTTTCCGAATGAGTTAAAAAATAAATTATTTTATCAGTTAGTGTTAGGAACAGAGCTTGGTTTAGTAATAGTGTTAGGGTTAGTGTTAGGAACAGAGCTTGGTTTAGTAATAGTGTTAGGGTTAGTGTTAGGAACAGAGCTTGGTTTAGTAATAGTGTTAGGGTTAGTGTTAGGAACAGAGCTTGGTTTAGTAATAGTGTTAGGGTTAGTGCAAGGTTTTGTTTTAGGTTCAAGTATGTAGTAAATTTACTGAAACTCTGACTTACTTAAATGTGAAATGAAGATGTACCACGCCTCCACAGATTTTGAAAACACGAGAGTGAACGTGGTAATCTGGCACGCCCCCGGGACTCTGTACACCTGCACGCCTTTGTTGGTGAGGTACACGAGCATGCAGGACAACGTGTACAAGAGGTCGACCACGCCCAGTCCGGCCAGGGTGTGACTCAGAGGCCGGAGTCGAAGCGGGGTGATGAGGAAGACTACCGCCAAGAGGGCGTTCCCGACGATACCCGTTGCTATGGCAACAGGGTCGATGACTTTAGCAAAGTGTTTGTTCATCACGTCGAGCTGGTCCGAATCCGAGCTGGACTGCCTGGAGGTTCGGCCTACCATTCTGATACCAGCCTGCGACTGTCCGGGTGGGGGTGACGTCAAAGGTGGAAATGCAGTTGATGTAGGCACTGGTGGGGTCAGCATCGCGTTGACGCCCATCGTGGAGGTGAGGTTCAAGAGGTGAGTCACGATCAGGGAGGAAGTTAGTCTGAAAATCGGCGAAATGGACGAGGTGGCCATGGACGTCATTTCATTGGCGCTGTATGCGGTACTGTCAGAGGAGAAGCCGCTGGGGGCAACTGTCGATGGCACCATTCCTGTAGTGGGCATAACACAGGGCACAAGGGTTGCGGCTCAGTGCATGTCCTGTTCTCATTGATCTCTGAAAAGATAGAAGCAATCTTTGATAATGAAAGGTAGATTTGTTTAAACATTGTCATCTAAAATATCCTTCAACTTGTTAGGTTTGTTGTATAATTCCTAAATTAAATTATACATATTTTGTTGTTGTTAGTAAATCCAAATCAAAAATAGTTTTACTTAGCCCAAAAATAGCTTTTGAACACTGTCTTAATTTACTGAGTTTAAGCTTCCAGGATCCCCCCGACTTTTGACCTGCAAGTATCTGGTTTATGTCCCTCCAACGATTAATTAAACATTTTGCTTAATCTGAGCTTGACAGATGTAAAGTCGGAGCGTGGCAGATGTAAAGGCGGAGCTTGATAGATGTAAAGGCGGAGCTTGATAGATGTAAAGGCGGAGCTTGACAGCTGTAAAGATTAGCTAAGAACACTATATAAATAAAACAATAACATTATTTTCGATTTAATAGATACGTATTCGACATTCATTCCTATTGTCTAAAGCAATAGTTCTCAACCTTCCTAATGCCGCGACCCAATAATACAGTTCCTCATGTTGTGGTGACCCCCAACCATAAAATTATTTTCGCTGCCACTTCATAAATATGTGTTTTCCGGTGTTCTTTGGTGACCCCTGTGTAGGGGTCGTTTGACCCCCCAAAGAGAACACGACCCACAGGTTGAGAACCGCTTGTCTAAAGCCAAAAAATCCAATTCCTTTGACAATACAGTTGACGTATATTCGGAAAATATGTTACGGTAATAGGATTTGCAGCTGCGTGTCCAACTGATGTAATGGGAAATCAGATCATCAGTTTAGCTTACAGCTACCTACTTCCGATAATCAGGAAGTTGCCAGAAATAGCCTGAGCAATGACCAGTGGGGTCGATAGCTCTGGTGAAAGACTAGAAATGACATCAATTCGGAGCATGAAATCTAACGACAGACTGGAGATGAAGAATGTGTTCCTCGCACTATCGTCATTGGTATGGCCTACCCATCGGACACTAGGGGTTCAGTGACGCGACCAAACGTCCCTTTACATGCAGCCAAAAAAAAAAGTGTGTTAACGCAAACGAATGGTTTTGCTGTCACCTCGATGTCAAGGTTGCACGTACGCCAAAACTAAGCCCCCGCCCACGGCCAGCGATCCCTCTTGTGGGACATGGCTTCCAGGTAACGCGTAGTTTGTTGTTTTTTTTTCTCTCTTAAATACTTCAACCACAAATCTCAATCGTTTAAAAATAAAATGTGTTTCTAATATACAAATATTTATTTATTAGAAATTGTGAAACGTCTGATTTCAAAACAATGGTTGCTCAATTTTTTTTTTTTTGACAATGTCTTTGGATGTATCCAAATTAACTTCCAAATCAATCCAACTTTTTTTTTTTTGTAAGGTTGAGTTTGGTTGTTTTATATATTAATACAACGTATATATGTAAAAAAAAAAAGAAGAAGAAGAAAAAGAAAGAAAGAAAGTCATTTCCTGTCTTTGACAAGACTAACTTCCGTTGCAGCAGACATGACGGAAGATTGAACTGGTATAACCTAGTTTTCTCTTCCAGTTTTTATTTACTTATTCTTGAATTAGAAATTCAATTATTTTTATTTTTTTTAATCAAGATCGGCTCTTCGATACCGTTAAGTTGAATAATATGTTGCTCCGATTACATGTTCTAGAATTTTAACACTTTTTTTCTTTCTTTCTTTTTTTTCTTTCTTTTTCTTCAAAATATTTTTGTTGAACATTTTGCACGTCCTAATAAGTCGTAAAAAAACAACAACATAAAAAAACATCGCTTTCCTTGTCTCCCTGAAGGTTTGCCATATTTTATGATCATGACCATTTCATTGAGATGACCTCCTGACCAGAGAAAAATAGCTTTAACAATCATCTAAAACTCAAGACTGTTGAACGTTGAGTGCCTGACAATCAAATGACAACCTGCGCAGGAGACGTGAACATTACCATGTCATCTGGGTTTAAATGAAACCCTGAAACGCCTGCAAAATATCGCTAAAAGCTTGAGTTTTTGTGTTTTTTTTTTAGTGTTCCCTTCTCTTGGGAAAAGTGCGTTCATTTAACAGAAACGCTTCACAACGTTTTTGAACGTCTCAATGAAACTTTTTTTTTTCTTTTTTAATCCTTGAAAATGACCTAATGTGTCTTTAATATCTTAGAATCTGTCCCACCGCGTCCATCAACTATTCGAACGGAGGCAGGTGTTTAAGCAGTGCTATTTTGGTGGTGTAGTTGGTGTTGCTTCTAATGGCGCAGATGGTGGTAATAAGGTCAATTTTTTTTTTTTTTTTTGGGGGTTTTTTGGGTTTTTTTTTTTTTTGGGGGGGGGGGGTTTTTTTTAAACGTAAAATAAAGTAGCTCACATGTGACGTCATATTCTACATCCCACGAAAGAGTCAGTCCTATAAATAACCTCCAACCATTTGTCACTGCTGAGCAATTCAGGATTAAACTATAAAAATGTGATTTTTTGGGGGGGGTAAATTTCGTAACGTTGGGTTAGCTGTAAATACACGAGCAGCTGTCAGGAATTACAGTTTAATTAAACCACGTGTGATGTATTGAAAAATAATTTAATTTCTTACATCTATTGCTGTCCGTGATGTTTTCAATGATGTTTCAACTCATCATCATAACTATTCATGAATTAGTGCAATAAGAGCTCATTATGAGCCACATAACACAAGAAGAGTTTAAGAGAAATATTCCTTCAGTGTTTATTGATATTTTAGCACTATTATACGCTATGTTTTATTTCAGAACTGTCATACGCTCTATTTTATTTTAGTACTGTCATAAAATATGTTGATGAGTTAGCACTGTCATACACCATGTTTTATTTTAGCACTATCATACGCTACATTTTATTTTAACACTGTCATAAACTATGGTGATGATTTAGCACTGTCATACACCATGTTTTAGTTTAGCACTGTCATACGCTATATTTTATTTTAGCACTGTCATAAACTATGTTGATGATTTAGCACTGCCATACACCATGTTTCATTTTAGCACTGCCATTCACTATGTTGATATTTTAGCACTGTCATAAACTATGTTGATGATTTAGCACTGTCATACACCATGTTTCATTTTAGCACTGCCATTCACTATGTTGATATTTCAGCACGGTCATACACTATGTTGATGTTTTTCGTGCCCTTTGGTATCAGGTTAAGCCAGAGGTCATCCAACTCATTAGTAAAAAAAAGCCAAAAATCAGCACCAGGACTAATACAATTTTGTTGGGAGCCTAGTTTCTTTTCAAGAACCCGTCAAGAATCAGGTTTTTCGGAGTCAAAGTCCATTTGTGGCCTACTGGCCGAGCCGCACTCAGGTTGTTAAAGAGCCGCATGCGGCCCGCGAGTCGCAATTTGCCGACCACTGGGTTAAGCTTATGATCCACTTTGGTCCAACTCATTATTAGCGCCCTAACGGCTTTAGGGAAAGGCGCAATGCTTGATTGGATCCGATGGGACATCAGGACAGAGGAAATTGAAAACGGCAGTAGACTCTTGGCCATCTTAAAACAGTCACTTCCCTTTGTGCCCAAATGTTTCATTGTTATTCCGTCCAAGAGGAGATAAGAGATGTGCAGGCTCATGTGTGATGTGTTCACATTAGGGAGGAGAGGAAACCAAGTGGTGAAGATCCGATTTTACAGGGATTTGATAGCAGGTATGAAAGAATGAGGGGGGAAAAGGAAAGGAAGAAAGGAAAAGATGAAAGGAAAAGAAGAAAGGAAAAGAAGAAAGCAAAGGGAAAGTAAGGGAAGAGAAGAGAAGGGAGGGGAATGAAGGGGATGAGAAGAGGGAAGGGAGAGGAGGAGAAGAGAGGGGAAGGGAGGGGAGGAGAAGAGAGGGGAAGGGAGGGGATGAGAAGAGAGGGGAGGGGAGGGGAGGAGAAGAGAGGGGAGGAGAGCGGATGAGAGGGGAGGGG